AAAAAAAAAAAAAAAGAATAACTCTGGCTGGCGCAGTGCATCATGCCTGTAGTCCCAGCACTCTGGGAGGCAGAGGCGGGAGGATCGCTTGAGCTCAGGAATTAGAGACCAGCCTCAGCAAGAGCAAGACACTGTCTCTACTAAAAATAGAATATTAGCTGGGTGCAGTGGCACGCACCCGTAGTCCCAGCTCCTGGGGAGGCTGAGGCCCAGGAGCTCCAGGCTGCAGTGAGCTATGATGATGCCATGGCACTCTACCCGGGGCGACAGAGCAAGACTCCGTCTCAAAAAAAAAAAAAAAAAAAAAGAAAGAAAGAATAACTCTTTCCAACTAGGCTCCCTTATGGCTTGAATTCCAATGAGGTTTTTCTTGGCTAATTTTGCCTCTAGTATCTACCCACTGGATTGAGAAAATGGTATAAACATTTCTTATACATCTTTTCAAAATTGTCGTAATAAATGATTTCAGTATTTGTCAAAGCCACGGGGAGAAAGGCTGCGAGAGCTCTACCACTTTCAGTCTCGGCTGGGCGGAATCGCAGCACAGCAGTGAGGCCTGCAGGCTGACAGGACACCAGCGCCCTCGCTGCCCTCACCATGTCGCAGCAAAATCTAACCAAAGCTCGAGTGAGTGCGGGAAGTTGCTCAAGACTTGGGGACTGAGGCTCCTAGAGACACGGAATGCCTGCATTCCACCCCAGAGTGTCCATGGACAGCTTCCCACCAGGAAGCATGCCGGGGCTGCTGTCTCGTCTCCTCAGCAGGAAGGCAGCTTCACCTGAGCACAGGTGGGCACAGGGAAAGAAGCGCCCAAGGAGACCACAAGGTCACTGTGCTCCCAGTGCTCACATACACGTCAATTCCTGTTTCTCTAGGACAATGACGTGCAAACTGCGCCTGGGGCAGGTGAAGATGCGCATCTCTGGCGTATACATCATAAAATCTACAGCGCTGTGTGCCCGGGACCTGTGGCCTGCACAACACGCCTGTTACGTCAGTGAGGACAGCCCTGTGCCCAGCAGGGAGGTCAGGTCTGTACTGTCCCATCGCACACAGTGCCACCAGGGCACCATGGGCAGTGCAGCCTGGCAGAATGTGTCCTACTCTCCAGCCCTTGCCACCGGGGCACAGCCGGGTAGGGGACTTACTGCAGAGCTGCTCGATGGTGGCCCACTGCTCGGATCTCTTCCACGTCTGGGCGAGCTCCTCGTTTCCGGTCCTCACAGCCTCCAGCAGCAAGCTGATGCTGTCCTGCAAGGGGCCAAGAGGAAGGTTCCCACGTGCTCTGCCTGAGGTGTAGATTCTGACTAACAGGTTTCTTCCTCCTCAACATCAAGATATATTTCAGAGGGAATTTAAAAAACCTTACAGGCTGTCACTATAAAATGTAAGATATCACAACTTAGGTCTATAAATGTAAGTGCTAAATTGAGATAAAATTTAAATTCTTCCCAAATAGCCCCAGAGGGGGCATCTGTGCCTCTCTGCATGGGCTGCAGGTGTTCAAGAGCCCAGAGGATAAAGCCTGCCCCACCCTGCTCCCCGTGCCTTAGCCCCTGCCTCTCTCTTCTGCATCATGCCTGGAAGAACACACGCTACGCCCCAGGCCTCAGGGTCAAAGTGCAGAGAATTAAAACCGTTTCTACAATGAGAGGTGCACACAGCCTTCGGGGGCTTGCAGTACCTGCTGAGGACAACGCTCACAACAGCGCGCACGGACTGGCAAGGTGGCCCAACGGAGAGGGTGCCTCACCTTTTGCCACCTGTCTGCTCAGAGGGGCAGCAGCCAAACCTGAGGCCAGGAGTGCAGCTCCCTGTGCTGACCGGGGAAGGTACAGACAGTGGAAGAGTCACAGGTGCCTCATGTCAAATATCAGAGTGGGTGGTTTGGGACAAAATACAGACACACAATAAACCTAACGGATCCAAGAAGAGCAATCGGCTACCCAACAGAGAAGAGCCTTGGGGAGGGAGGATGCTCTCTGTTCTGTCACCTTCAGGGAAAGGTGTTGAGTGAGGGGTATCCGTGGCTCAGAAAGAATTTGTTCCTTTCTCTTTGGCGTTTCCTTGGGTCTCAGGAAGAGAAGAAAAGGCCTAAGTAGGGCACCCACAACAAGGCACATGCAAGGGGCCTCCTGGCGGACCCACCGCCCCACCCCTGCCCTACTCAGAGCAGTCGCCATCTGCAAAACACTCGCCCTCTCCTCCCCCCACAGGGTATCTTAAAAATGCCAACTGTGCAGCTGCGAACGCGGGGCCTGGAAGCTGGCCAAGCCTTCTGGGCCGGGGCAGTAAAACCAAAGCTGAATCAGGAGGGGAGCGATCAGCAAAAAGCAGAGGCTGTGATTCTGAAACTGTTAGGACAGGACTTTTTTGAATTGTGGATCTCTGATGCTCCGTGCGACAGGACAGAGCTAAATCACCTCTGCTTCCCATGTGATTGTAACAAACGAAACCGTCCTTCATCAGGGAGGGCACAGTCACTGAAAATGCTAAAGGTGAAAAAGTCCATCTTTCCATCAACAAGCCTCTTGTGAAAAGCCACTGCCTGCACACTCTCTGCACATGAGACGCAAGGGGCAGAAACCCTGACCCCAAGCTTTGACCCAGTTTCTCAACCACGCTCTCGTTTGTGAGGAAAGAAAGTGAGACAGAGCGTCTCTCTACAGCCAAAGCCCATCTGGGGAACACCAGAGCCCCGTGCTCAAGAGGACACCACACTGAGGCCCGTACCTGCAGAGGCATAACTTCATTGGTGACCAGAAACAGCAGGAGGTGAAAATCTGAGATGGTATCCAAGAACACAGACGAGGTATTCTGGGATAAATAGGTGGCCAAACTATGGAAATCCTAGAGGGAAGGAAACAAACAAGAATATTCCATTACGATTCTCAGACCCAGAAAGAGAGCTGTTTCCTACCAAGACATAATTAAATACACTGAATGCTGAGATGTCTCTCCCCCTTTCTACAGCCACTAATAGGGTCTAAGAAAGGAGGAGCCAACAGCGGCAAAGCAGGCTCCTACCTCTCTCCTCCCAGGAAGATGCTCTCGGTACCTGACTCATCAAGGTATGTGACAAAGCACGTTTGCCAAGCTGACCCAGACAGACACGACCCAACCGATGGCAAATGCCCCTTGACCTCCAGGCGGAGAGTGGGCTGTGGGAGGGCCCCCTGCAGGGGCGGGGAGACACAACTGGCCTTTTCTGTCTAGCCGCGTTCTCCATCCAGGGCAGCGTGACGGTGAGGGGGAACCGAGGGCAACCCTCAGGCAGCATGAACATCTCTAGCAGGACCAGAAACAGGGGTGTCAAGAATGTACCCATGTCCCCTGGGCAGGTGAGCAAGAGGGGACCAGAGCACAGAAGAGGCGCTGTCAGCCACTTCAAGAGAAAATCTCATGACAGACATTCATTTACCAGGCCATCGTCTGAAATGTCTGTTAGAAAATGACACCCTAAGAACAAATGTGTGCAGACTGTTTACGCAGTACGCACAAGGCAGTAACGGAAATTCGGGTCTGGCCTGATGTCCAGTGGGAGAGAGGGTGAGACGGGAACTGTGCTAAGTGAGCAGATCAATGACATATGCTGGCAGGCCCAGGGGGCCCAGCCACATGGGGCCACCCAGCTCTGACGGTGCCTAAGAAAGGCAGCAGTATGACAGGGCAAGGGGGACCAGGTCACAAACAATAGAAAAGTTGTTCAAAGAGGACACAAAGTAACAAACTTTGGAAAAATTAAGAAGTCAACTGAGAATGGTATTTGTGGCAAATCTGCAGTCCTGAGGACTTCAGGGGAATTGTCCTGTGGTGTCTATCGCCCGGCCACAGAGTGAGGGTCCACGTGGCCAGCATTACCCTAGAGCAGGCCCACCTGGGCTCAGTCCAAGAATCCATCAGGACAGTTTGAAAGCTTAGTACTTTCTGGAAAAACAATACCGACACTAGACGAGCAATTGGCAGCTAACTTTAAGTTGCTTCTAGAGATAAGAGCTTACCTGTGTCTCACCCAGCACGTCCCGGTTTTCAATAGGAAATGGATTTTGTGAAATAGAAAAAGTATAAACTGGATCCTTGGGGAAAGTTGTTGTGATCTGGTGAACAAAACACAAACCCGTGAGGAAGCAGGCCGCACACAATGTGAGCGACTCCCCAGCAGCCCCGAGCACCCCTGGCGCCTGATCTGAAGGTAGCAATTCTGAGAGTCCTACAAACTCTATATTAAAACCAACAGTTAATGTTAACAATTAGTGTTGTTCCTAAATGAAAATTTTGAAATTCTGACATCTGGGAAGCAAACTAAAGAACTTGTTTTTAAACCTACACTATATCTGGTGTACACTGGCCCCATGACACCGAACTCCAGCTGCGTTGGACCACCTAGGGCACAGCTGCACCCAAGGCTCACACGGCCGCTCTCCCTGTGCTGCAGGGGGACTAAAGGCTGGTCTGAGCCCTCAATCTGGGCTGCGGAAGCACAGAGAGGAGAATGCAGGAAGCTGGGAGGCCGTGTTAGGAGCTGACTGTTCAGAGGTGCGAAGTTCACATCCCTGGGTTTGCAGTGCACGTGCAGAGTCAGCAGCGATGGGTTCAAGAAACAAAGTAACCTCCAGCCAGCCTGCTAAGCCCCTTTTGAAGGCTAGGGAGCCACTCCATGCAGCCTGTGGGCTTTTCCAGGCAGGGGCAGGTGAGAACCACAGGCCCTGGAGGAACACAGGGCACTGTTCTCCACTCTCCCTCAAAGACGAGTGGGCCGGATGCAAGGGCCAACGCGGAAAGATGAGCTTAGTCCTTCACTTGGCTCAGACACACTGTGGTCACTACAGAGGGCGTTTTAAACCCAACATAGAGTCAACAGAAGCTACAGGACGGTGGTAAATGTGCAAGAACCAATACAAACACGGGTTTTATTCCTCTTGGCAGATGCTCCTCCCCACAAAGCACCCAAGCGTGAGCTATCAGCCGCCTTCTGGTTGATATAGCTTTCCTCTGCAGTGTGACACTAGCAGCAGCAGATCACACTTCTCACAGATTTAGGGTCACTACTCTGGTTCCTTGGGGACTATTTCTCAAGAACGAACCTTGTTCTGGTGTGTCTTCCATATCACCAAAGGCAGTGAGCTGCTCCAGGCTAGCCGGCCCAGGTGCAGCTGTACCAGCGCTGGCCGCTCTGGAGGGACAAGCTGAGCCATGGGGAACACGTCTGACCCAGGCGGATCCTGGGAAGGGCCACACTGCAGCATGGCGCTGTGCACTGGCTGCATAGCCTCGCCAGTCAGAGACCCTGGCCTCGCTTTGCTCACCTTGAGGTAAAGATGTGAACGCGCCGGGCTGCTGTGAGGATGCAGCGCCCTGCATGCAGGGCACCCAGCACGGGCCTGGCCCGTGGCAGGCCACGAGCTGGGTCAGGGTTCTGACAACAGTGGTGGTGCTGACCATGCTGCAGAGACAGGATCCTGGGACAGCTCAGGCCCCTTGTCTTGGGAGGGCAGAAATGGGAGTGGAACAGCAACTACAGAAGACTCACTGCTACGGGAACTAGTGGAATTAAGAAATGTACGTGCTGGTCTTTCTTGTAACTGCCCATAGAGAATAACAGAAGCAAAGTCCGCATGGCCCCATGCGACCATCCCAGATGCCCCAGGGGAGGTTGCAGGGGTCCAGAGCCTCATCTCATGCTGAAACCCTCTCCCCCCCAGCGTGCATCAGCTGGACGATGCCCTGACATCTCCACAGAAGTGCGGCCTGCCACAGCCGCCCCATCCAAGGTTTAAGAACATCAGACAGCTCTGGCCCGGGCCCACCTCTGCTCCCGAGGGACGCCCCAAGCCTCACTTCCACAAGGACAGAGAGCTGGGGTATCACAGGGTGGAAGGATCCGCAGCAACCAAGTACTGCTGAAAAACTGCCCTAAGGCAAAAACCTAACTTCCTTTGTGAAAGGAAAGGAAAGGGGTGGGGAAGCCACTTCAGGGAGAAGACCCGAGAAGGCTGGTTTTAAATCACACCGACTCCTCCTGAGTGCACGCTCCATCAATCTGTTTTCATCTTAATTACACCCTGGGTAGCCTAAAAAACAGATGCCTTTACAGCCTCAGTGATAAATATGTTCTTGCGAGCTGTCAGTGGGAATGGAGCATCGATGGGCTTGGCTCAGGGGGACCCACTGCTCCAAATGCAATGATATTTTACTGCCTAAATCACATGCCCATCCGAGTCCAAATGCAGCCTGAACAGACCCTGGCATGGCAGCAGCGTCAGAAATGAGCTGCCTCCTGCCCCTCTGGACACAGCTTCAACGGCGATGGCTGCTGCAAATACATCAGGCTCTTGTCCTGCCACACGGGCTGCCCTTTGGTGATGGCACGGCCACACCTCCAAGCCACTAACCGCCTCCAGAAAGGAGCTGAGACTGTGGGAAGATGCAGCAGAGCAGAGTCCCTTCTTGGCTCTTAGATCTCAGAGTTCCACTCAAGAACACTGAGGCACAGGGTGTCCCCAGGACAACTCGGACGGTGTGGCCCACTGTGAGCACCACAGTGGCACCTGCACATGCCAGGTGGCTCTGGCAGCCAGAGGCCAAGCACAGAGTATCTGGGTGAGATTGTTTGGACGCTCACATGTCCCGGGACCCAAGGACAGGGACTTGTTGCCTTTCAGAGGCTGCTTGGCCTGGGGTCGGGGGTCCCTTGAGCTAATATGAGGATAGTTAACCCCTAGGTTGATTTCAAGGAAATAAAAACCCATAACAAAAAGAGAAAGTCCTTATAATTGTTAGCTTTATCAGGAACGCTGGGTGCTCAGTGATTGAACAAACACTCCCGGGTGCCTGTTCTGTGCTAGGCGCTGCAAGAGGCAGAGGGTGTGACTCTTGTGACTCTCTAAGCCACCAGCTCCTCCTTTGAGCAGCTACCACCTGGCAGTCCTGACCTCCAAAGTGCCTGCCGGGCCGGCCTGCCCAGGCTAGGGGGGCAGCACTTACGTCTATGATCAGATACTCCACAGGCAGGGGCCGGGCCAGCTGGGTGATCTCGTTGCCAAACTTGTCTATGTCCTGAAACAATCAAGGGTGAACAGAGGTAAGGGAAGGTGACCAGTGATAATGTTTTTCCTTTCACACACTGGTCTCAGCTTTTGAATTATTACAATTCCTGTTGGACTGTCTGAATAGCAGAAAGGAAAATGTGCCTATTTTTGCAACGAATCCACCTTCTTCTATTTCTTGGAGCTCTTTATTACGCCACAAGTTGAGAAAGCAGCCGTGCTCTCAGGTACTGGGAGTCTCCGCTGGGAGAGCGCACCAAAGCCCCTACCCCTCCACCCACAGTGCTGGGCCCGGCACTGCTGTCTGAGACAGAGGCAGAGGGTCTGTGCTCCCCTCAGGCTGGATCGGGGCCTGTTCTATCCTCTACAGGCACTTGAAGTTTCATAGTCTGAATGCTAATTCTTACAGATCTTATACCTCTGAAAACCCGACTTTAGGGAAACTTAGTACTTGTACATTAATAAAATAAAGCCATGCACAAATGAGCATGGGCACGTGCGCGCGCGCGCGCGCGCACACACACACACACACACACACACACACACAAATATGCAGACATGGAAAACCCCCACCACCAATCTGTCAAAGTCTAAACTGGTTTTGCTTTGTCAGATGCATGGAACATAAAGTTTAATTATGGGGAAAAACGGCCAGCATATGTTCATTAATCACAAAATGACAATTAGATCTGATTTATGTCAAACATGCCAAGTTCAAACAGAGCTCCAGAAATAAATTCATAAGAACCAATGCTTTTCATTAAAGATTCTGCAAGAGGGGGTCATATTTTCTATCTAAATCATCACTTAACATTATATAAATCATTCATTAAGTCATATATAAATTATACATCCATAATTTCCAATTATAGGGCCTTACATAAAAGTTTACATTTACTGAAGCTCTCAGACCCAAACTGGTTGCCAAGCACATCGCCCTGAGGTGTGTGGGTGCTATGAGGCCACTCCCAGCACGTCCACACCTCCCTGGGACGTCAGAGGGCTCTGCTATCTTTTGAGACAATGGTTATGGCAGTTCCTAAGTCAAATCAAGTATTCTACCCTAAAGGGATATCCACAGGCCCCGTTTGGCCCTGTTCCTTGCTTGAAGATTAAAACTTCTAGCCTGAAAGATGTGTTTTCCCACACCTTCCTGCCTTTCCTCCAGTCACATTCCAGAGAGCTGCCCACAAAACTGACCCCTTTGCCCTCCCAGAAAACACAGGCCAAATATGTCTCACCAGCTGGCTGCACAGGAGTGCTATTCGACTATTTTCATTTCAAGTATTGGCCTTGACCCTTCAAATGCCAGCTCCCTCAAACACACAGCTTTGTCCCGTTTGCCTTCCTTTGAAGCTGAAGTCACTTTCCACCTGATTGGGGGAAGGACCGTTTGTCCTTCCACATGTCAAGCAGCTGCTGCCATCAGGACAGACTCCGCATTCCGTGGCTCTGGCTGGGGGCACCAAAGACGTGGGGTCTGCAAGTGGGATCCTGGGGCCCCAGAAAGGCGGTTTCTCGATGGAGGAGATTTGGTAGGCAGCAAGAATCAAATGCAATCAAACTAAATCACCATTTCCAAAAATACACGCTTGCCCCTACAAGAAATAACCTGCAACAACTCACACATAATTAGCCCATCTGGAATTCATCTTCAAATCTAATTAAGCTCTAATATGCAGAAACATTTCTCCAGCACCTGTTCACTTTAATCTTCCCCTCTAGGGATTTTTCCTGTTAAGTGCCCCTCTCTCTTTTTTTGTGTCGTGCTATTCTCTTTCAAATTTAACTACCCAACTGCACCTTTTCTGCTCCCCAAGAAAATAAAGGTGTTGTATCCCCCTTTCTTCCCTGGGGGAAAAAACAGGTAACTTCTATCTCTCCCTCAGGCCTTCACTCAAATGTTTTTGCCAACCAATGCCTAGCCCTACACACCACTTTAAAAGGCAATTACTTTTTATGGGCTTTAGCAAATGTCAGATGGAATGCACTAGGAGGAAGACATCTCAATTCCAAGTATGGCAGCCGCCAAAGTGTCAGCAGTTTTATCTCCAACTGAAGCAAGACACAGGGAGAGTCAGAAACTACGGTCCCCAATGCCTCGCTACCTGCTATGGGCCGTGTCTGGAAGCAGCGGCACCAAGGTCTTGACAGCAAAGAGAAATCCAGGGATCAAAGTCTTTGTTAGCTAAAAAGCACATGGACTTCGTACCAAGCAGCAGCAAATTCCACTGATTGGATGGCATCACCTTGCTTTAGAAACGGTGAATAAAATCCTGAATGTGTTGCTTTTCTCTTCTAAGAACTAGGTGCAAGAAGGGAAACAAGTGACAACAGGATCTGATATTTCACATGATAACTTGAGAAAACACAAAGCTTTCAGAAATGTGGTTTCTTAAAGAACCACTGCTTAGGAAACAGTCCAGTCCATGAGGATCTACAGAGCACCTGTCAGATGCAAACAGAACCACAGCCAGCCTTTCTCAGGGACTTGCTGTGTGCACAGAACCACTTGGTCCTCACGGCCTCAGCCGTCACAGGCAGGACTGCTGTCCCTGACAGAGGATGAAAAATGACAGGCTACAGGATGAGTTTGCCTCCCTGGGACCTGTCAGCCAGCAGAGCAGAGGGGGCATCAGAGCCAGAGTCCATCCACATTCAGAACTGAGGCTCCTCACCCAGTGCTAGCACTGTGGGGTCAGGGCACACTCACACACCTGACTCCACTCCCGGGGAACCTTAATGTCTCAGGCTGTGGTCCTGACAGCACACTCCCACTGAGCACAGCTCACCACCTCCACCACATGGGGAAGAACAAAACTATGCTCAGAGATTTCAGGGACCACAAATCCATTTCCTAGACAGGGAATATGCTAGCTAACATGTTATTTGGAATCTCTTTCTCATTAGCAATTTCTTGATTAATTGATAAACTGTCCTGAATAATGCTGGAAAGAAACACAATCTTCCATGATTGAAAACATTTAAAAGAGGTACGTGGTGCAGGGTCTTGCCCTAACAAATACAAACATGTATTACGGAGATTCAATAAGTAGAATAGTTTCATAACGGCAAAGGGAGAGACTGTGGCGCAGGGGCGATGCCCAGAGGTAAGACGTAGGGAGACGTGGATGCCCTGGCCGACAACAATGGTGGGATCAGGTCCCACGGTCAAGTATCTGCAGAAACATACAACTAGATCCCTACCTTGTGCCAACATGATGCATAAAGGGGTCATGGGTCTCAAAGTAAAATTAAACCATAAAAGCACTAAAAAAATATACAGGTAAATATATAGCTTTGGGGTAAAAGGTTACAGTTGACCCTTGTACAACACGGGTCCACTTACACTAAGATTGTTTCCAACCAAATGCAGATTGAAAATAAGTATTTGTGGGATGTAAAACCCACGTATACTGAGGGCCAGCTTTGGGACTTGAGCACGCGAGGACTTGGGCATAGGCGCAAACTGAGAGACCACTGCACTTCCAAAGATAATGACAAAGGCAGAAACTATAACAAAACAAGATTCAGGTATCTTTGAAACCAGAAAACATTTCAGCTCCTCTGTATAAGGAAATGAAAGCCTGGCATGTTTGCAACATATGCAAAAGGGTTTAATATGTAAAGACCTCACAAATGAATGCCGAAAATGACAAATCACCTCACAAATACCTAAGCGCACACATGGAGAGGCGATTCACAAACAGTCAACACACACATGGGGAAGAGCCTGGGCCTGTGGCTCAGAGGCAGCCAGGCCAGGCCGCGGCGCACGGCACGAGCCCACAGCAGCCCCCAGAGGAGACCTGGGGGAATGCAGAGAGCCTGTAACACGCGTATCCTTCCACAAACGATCCCAGGTAACGTAGACCATGCGCAGAGAACGAGCCAGAGGGTGGTCCACAAAGCACTCTCCATGGCGCCAGATGCCAGACCAGACCCCACGTGCTGCGTGAACAATGCCCAGCACTGCAGGTCCTCGCCGAGGCTGTTTGTCAGTGCGCTCTCAGGACAGCCGACTTCAGCATGCTGACGCCAGGACATCACCCTCCGCCCTCTCCCGTCACTGGCTGTTTTTTTCCTGGGCCCTTCTCCTGGGCTGGCCTCTTCAGAGCAGTGTTCCTCGAGGCTGTCCAGCACCCTCTTTTCTTCTCCCTCTGAACAAGCTCAGTGTGTCTCGTCTACTTCCAGGGCTTTAACATAGGCTTTCTATGCAGGTGTCCTGAAAGGACACCATCGGCCTGTGTCTCTTGTCCAAGCTCCCAGACTGCTCACTGGCCACCACGGGCCAGGTCCACCTTCAAGCTCTGCGTGTCAGCGCCTGGACTCACCAGCCTCCCAGCAGACCCACTGCTCTGCTCCGGCTCCAGGACGTGCCTGCTCCCCCAAACCAAGAGTCTGGCCGGGTCCTGGGCTCCTTCCCTGCATCCCACGAGGCCTCTGGGGCTCTGTGCCGGCACAACTCTCCTTGCCCAAAGGCCACAGGAAATGGACAGGTCGCCTGGGTTTCCAGGGGCACCAGCCTTTGCACTGGGCTCCCCAACTATAAATTATCCCTCACACTGCACCCCAGGATGGACCTTCTGTAACAGAGACCTCACCCCCACTGCCTCCGAGGCTGTCAGCACCTGTCCACAGAGTCCCACCCCACTTCTCCACCCTGCTGCCCCGCCCTGACTCAGGCCACTGGCATACTGGCTTCAAGTGTTGCAAAAGCTTCCCGCCTCCCAACCACGTCGCGCCACCTCCAGCAGGAACGTTTCAGAATCCAGCTTCCATATCTCACTCCATGGCTTCCCACGGCCACCATACCTGACACAAGCCACCCTCCTACTAGACTGACCCCAGGTGCACACTGCACCCTCTGGGTACGCAGCCCCTCAGTGGGCTGTGCTCAGCCAACTCTCACATACCCTCAGTCTCAGCTCTCGGGTACCCTGCTGTGCCCGCCCTGTACCACCATGGTGACACCCCACAGTATGCCAGGCAAGGGAACCTGTGTGACTT